AACAGTGATAAGTCAATTAACATACTTACTGGGATTTCCTGGCACCTCTCCAGGAGAAAATATTCCTTGTGTTTGTCATATGGCCGCTGTATTCGATCAGGAACCTCAGGGTGAGTTCTAATATAAAACAAATTCAATGCTTCATCCTACAATACAGTGGATTGAAAGCAGGTAGATAGATGAAGTCTACAAAACCAGGCCAGCCATACTGGAGGCAGCTGCCTATCTCGATTTCCATTGGAAAAAATAATGAAGAGTACCTTTCAATCCCTCAGATAAGATGAGCTAAACTATCCAATGTGTCTGGGGAGTGATGGTTATCCCACTGAACTCTGGGTCAAAGGCTTTAGTCTGATAATTTATAGTTTTGTCGTTGTTCAACATAACTGCATCCTAAACAATCTTCAATTTAGCTTAATCTTTCATCTGAACTTTTATTTTTGTGAACAGTGTCAAGAGGGCTGAAGCTTACTGATTGCATAAAAAGAAGGGGAGAGGCCCCATACATGCAATAACAGTATTATTCATTAACTTAAAGTAAATACATACTACACACTAGGGAAAAATCATAAAAAATTATTGGGTTACTTACACATCCCATTCATTGAAATGCTTTTTCATCCTTTCATCAAACACAATTCCAGTTCTGAAAGAGAGAATTAAAAAGGAATTTAGTGCTTGTACCATTGTCAGTCTTCAAAATGCCAGAGGTTTTGAACTGAAATGTCTAGAGTAAATTACAATATATAGGTAAGGTTACCCTTGAAAAAAAAAAAAAAAACCAGCAAATGCTGAGAAAACAGCAACTGTTCTTGAATTAAGTAGTCATTGATAGAATTAAAAGTGAAGTAGGAGTTGTTATATGTTGAACAAGTGACTTTTTCCGATACTTAAAGGTATCAAGATCTTTTTGCACTAGTTTCACACAAGACTGTTAATTTGATCCAAGTTCATCTCCTGTTGGCCTTAAAAGTTTACTCATATAGTTCGTAGGAATCAGTAGCTCAGCCACATGCATGATTTGCAACCTAATTGGCTCACTGTTTAATAGAGATATGATCTTTACAGGTCAGCTGTTTAAAACAATTGCAGAAAAGAAGCCTGAAAAAATTCAAGCTTTGATGAGACTTGAGCCTTTACTTCCCAGATACTACAGCTGAGCCATTTATAATGTTTTAGAAATTAAGGCTTAAGATAATAGTTATTGTACCAAATGAAAGTAACTTTTAATTCAAAATTCTAATTATTGGTCATGGTCATGGGAATGCATGTTGAGTATCTGTTTTATTACACAACTTGGGCAGTCAGAGGGCCAATCACTAAAATCAACCAATCAAAATGCTCTATTGCCGGTCAATATTCTCTAAGTATTGGACCGAGCACT